GAAGAGAAACTACAGTTTCTGAGCATCCCTGGTTGTCTCTCAAGCCCCTTCTGGACCTGTTAGATATGAAATCTAAATTACTGCCATGTTAGTTTGTTATTTTAGTTAGCTTATTTATTTATTTTCTACTGGATACCAACTGAACATGCACATTAGTGCTATGTATATAAACATGCCAGGTTTTGCTAAGAGAACAATTATAAGTTGTATTAACTCAAAAATATAAAGATTTCTAAATATTTTATTTGTAATTATTATCATCTGCACTGATTTATGAAAAATATATTGACTGCACAAAAAAGGAGGTTAGTATTTGGAATTCAATATGTATTGAAACTGAAATTCTTACTGAATCTACCATTTAGGCCTAACGTATGTTACATCAACTTAAGCATAATAAGTCTGTAAACAAAGTAAACCGTATGATGGGAAATTTACCTTCTCATAATGAAACTAGATATATATGGAGAGAATTCAAATTATGAACTATGAATCTTTCAAAATGAATTAATTAAATTTAGGTAAAACAATGTAAGCATGACTTGACTGAGAATGAGATGGTTATGGATTCAATTTTTAATGAATACCATACTCATTCTAATTTGAATACCAGGTTTTTGAAATAATTTTGACAAATTTTAGAAAATTATTATTTATCACTTAACAAAATTCTTCATTTGCACAATAAACCATTGTTATATTGTTAAGTATATGAAGAACAGCTCTATAAAACTTAAAACTGGTGATGTCTATCTTACTCAAGAAATTAAGATTAAGAAAGTATTGTACAGAATCAGTCAGCCTTAGATTTTATGTGCAGGAAGAAAATTCCATACTAAAAATAAACTTATTGTACATTTTTTTGTGTATATCATCAAATATAGAAAATTACTCGATGTAAATAAGTACTGCATGTTTCATTTATACTATTAATCTAATAAAGGTATTACTGTTATCTACCTTTATGTCTAATTCATAAGAATCCTTTACAGAATGCTATTCCTCTGCTTGTCTATTGCTGGATCAACTTACTGAACTATGGTTTTAATGTAATCTGTATTCAAAGAATTTTTCCCATGATTGGGTTCAAATGACAATGATCATGAAGAAGTATAACTGAATCATGCAAGTAGTTAGCATGAATGAGACACATGAATCAAGTTGTTGATTCAACAGAGCATCATGTACAGGAAGCTTATGCATGAGAGTAAATTGAAGTTAAATGTTAGTATGGTAAAAGTAAAACCTTAGTCTTAGTGTCAGATATTAACTTTTAGGTGGGGTTTCCAAAAATGGATGACCAAAAGATCAAACGCCTGTCAACTTCTGCATTGCAACGATGTTCACACACAAATGTAGCAAAATATTTGAAAGCTATAACAGAAGAGCAAGAAATTAATAATACTGAACAGGTGCACAGTAGTAGTAGTATTAAGGATACATTCTTGTCTAGTGAACCAACTGAAGACTGATCAAATAAGTTTGGTTGACTAATGTTGCTTTTTAGCATATTAATTAATAATGCTACACAGATTGTTACACAAAATGAATATAATGAACAATGAATGTTAAAAAACATAAATTCTAAGTCTAATGGCCTTTCAGAAAATAAAGAAAGTATGCTAGATGACAGTTAGAGAGAATGGGCATTGGAATTTAATGTTTCCCTGGTAGTGCTATCCTCTTTACTTGTCAGGTTGAAAGCACATCATCCAACATTGTCCAAAGATACCAGAAATCTGCTAAAGACAAGAAGAATATTAGATATTCAACAAAAAGCTGGTGGTTTTTATTACCATTTTGGAATTCTCTCTGCATTTCAGGATATATTAATATCTCTAAATGATGGCATGTACAATGGCCAATGTATGAAGTTGCAAATAAATATTGATGGACTTCCCTTATTTAAAAATCTAGCCAACAATTCTGGCCAATTTTGGGAATGCTTCAGGGCTTTTCTCAAGTTCATCCTGTTATCATTGGACTTTGCTGTGGTAATAAAAAGCCAAGTTCATCTGAGGAATTCCTAGAGATGTTTGTGCAGGACCTTAAATATTTAGAGGCAGGATTTGAGTTTCAAGACTACAGACTGACCATGAAAATATCCTCAGTAGTATGTGATACTCCAGCATGGTCATTTGTGAAAAATTAAAATTGAGCAATGGCTATTATGGTTGTCACAAATGCAGGCAATCTGGAGAATAAGTGTCAAACTGAATGACATAAATCCAGAAGGACAAACAGATGTTGCTTTTAATGAAATGGTGGATGAGGATCATCAACTAGGGCTGTCATCATGAGTTATCTGTTGGAATGGTTTCCCAATTTCCAAAGATTATATGCATTTAGTTTGTTTAGGGGTCATGAGATATTGCTACATTTCTGGATGAAAGGACCTCTAAAATGTCAATTGCCTTCTAATAGTATTGTTACGACAGCAGAAGTCACGTGATGCGTTCTAGAAAGATTGGGGAACATCACAAATAATCCAGTATTTGCTAGGCGCCCTCTATTCTTGTATATAAGTGCACCAGACAATGAATCGGGGATAGAATTGCAGACAGGCAGAGATAGAGACAGACAACTGAGTCAAGCGCGGTAAAGTGCGTGAATCGTTCATTGTGAATTATAGTGTATGTTTAAGTTAAACTGATTATGGAAATTAAGTATATTGCAAAGTTGTATTGAGAAAGAATAAACTAGTTTTATTTAAGAAAGGACTTGTAGCGCTGAAGTTTTTTGGAAGGAATTTTTACGGGAAAATAACAAATGACCAGAGAGGTAACAGTATTTCAGATTTATCAGAAACACTGATTAGCCTTAAACAATGCATTTCTTCAGAGTTTTCTAGGAAACCTAGATCTTTCCAAGAGCTTGCTTGTTGGAAGGCAACTGAATTTTGTTAGTTTCTACATTATACTGGCCTTCAATTATACTTCCTACTACTGTTTGTTGGCACATATATATTAGCAAGTCCTAAGTTGTGTTTAACCAGTTGTGATTATGAACATAATGTTTTAGTGTCTTTTGTACAGCATTATGTCCAAGTTTATGGTAGTCCTTTGTTGGTATATAATGTACATGGATTGGTTCACCTTGCAGATGATGTTAAAGTTCATGGACATTTAGATTTATTTTCAGCTTTTCCATATGAACATTTTATGAAAACTTTAAAGAAGTTTGTTAGAAAGCCTCACACACCTTTAGTGCAAGTTGTTAACAGGATATATGAACACAGGTGTAGACAGAAGCAGAGTTGTCAACCAAGCGAGAATGAAATACAGTTTAAGAAGGAACATGTTGATGGTCCAGTGCTAGAAAATCTTGTATTTTCTGCTCAGTATACACAAATATTTTTGAGGAATTTTTGTATTAAAGTAACTACAGGAGATAATTGTGTTATGATTGGTAATGATATTGCTATTATACAAGATATAGTAATAAGCTATGGTGTAACCTATTTATTTTATAAGAAGTTTATGCACAAAGAATTGTTTTTTCAGTATCCATTAGATTCTAGCTTTCTGAGTGTGTATCTTGTAGGAAACATTTCACGAAGATTATATTATGCTAGATTAGAAGTTCTTGACAGATGTTTTCTTCTTCCTTTCGGCGAGATAATTGTAGCAATTCCTTTGTTACGTGGAGATATCAAGTAATGGTGTGCTCATAATTTCATATAGAACAAACTATATTGATAAATAAGATTATACAATTGTATTTCTATTGAGACTTTGTGATGTAGATGGGTTGCTATTGTACCTGCATATTTACTGTCCTTTTATAGTTGCCAATCAAATGAGAAAAGAGTGGATTTAATATTTTGGTTGGTCTTATCACAGCAAAATATTCTTTGAACATCCCATTAGGATGTCTTATATTGTGGAGTTTAATGAAAATAATAAAGTAGATATTTTACCACAGTCTTTGGTAGAGGGAGGTGTGTGTGTGGCCTACCTACAGAAGGCAGGACAGATTAAGAAGAGCTGAAAAGAATAATGAAGATGCGCTGCTGACTGGATAGAGTATGATGTTCACATACTTTATTCTCCAAGTGTCTCTTTTCCAATTTCTAGCTTTCATATTATGGATACCATTGAAGGAAAACTTAAGATATAATGTGGATTTGAAGAGATATATAGTAAGCTTTTCCACTTATAAAATAGATGACACAAAGATCAGAAAAACTATTAGAGAACCAAAAGTAGAAATCTATTTGATTAATAAAGTGCTACACATGTTTATTGCAATGGTATGTAGTACCATATTATTTGTAAAATGCAAATACCAGAAGACCTTTTTTAATTCCAGGTAGCTCACTTTGGAACAACAGGGGGCATTAACACAAAAGAAACTGTGTCTTGCATTATGACTTGCATCATTGCCAATCCATTGGCGAGACAAATGAACTTGAGTGGTGCACATGCAAACGTACATTCAAGAATCTGAAGCTGCAAACTGTTATCTGTGGATTTATTTTATTTCATCTGTTTGTTTATTAAAGTTCAGTAACTGGTATTAGTGCATCAGTATATGAAAATGCTCAACTGGACATTTGTTTATTGTTTATCCTTTTTTCAATTTATTCATATGTACGTCTATTCCAGCATAGTAAAAAAAATTATTACATATATATCATAATTCTGAATTCTAATAAAAGACCCTCACTCTTCAAACAGATGCTGCTAGAAAGAACTCATTTTCACCAAATGCTGCAGATGATGAGATAGAACCATTCATCAAAGGTAGTTCCAGTTAGCAGGTGACCGTGATGGAGGCAGGAAGGAGAGATATGTTTGTATACAGGCAGAAGGCACAGACTAACAATTAATATATATATACATTTCTTTTCAATATCTTATATCTATTAATGTACATAATATTCACAATAACAAATGTAAAAAAACAAAAAAAAACATCCATACTGTATTTCTTTGAATGTAAATTGTGTTATATACTGAAATAATAAACATTCATTTCTGTTAATGGTTTTTTTAAGCTTTTGATTGTTAAAATTTTAAATACAAATTAGTTATGCATTCACATATTATACTAACATTTCTAATGTTGAGAATTGTTGTAGGTATAAATTAAATTTGAGTTAAAATGAAGCAGCACATTCCTATTAAAGAGATGCATTACTAAATTTCTTTTATTTGGTCCAAAAATTAAAATGTGTTGGAAGATTTAAAAGGGGGGAAAAATATTATAGCATTCAACGTACCTGTCAATATCAAAAATATTCTTTACATAAATATAACTGAAAAGTATTGGTTGTAATGAAAATCATTAATCATTCACATAAATTAAAAACAAAATATATTTGAAATGTTAATCCAGTCATATACAAGATATTTCATAGTATAAAATGAAAATATGTTTATATTCTATAACCAATATATATAGAACCTATATTAAACGAAAATCAGCATAGAATCACCTGCTGACGTACGACCAAAGGAGTCAGGCCAATATTGGCCCACTGTACAGTTTGATGCCAGACCTATTTTGGTATCCAATGCTGGCCTGATATTTTTGCCATTGTCTGGCCAACAATGGGTTGACATCATGGGTGGTATTTGAGAAGTAATCCAAAGCCCAATAGATGGCTAGAAGCTCGAGGATGTCGATATGTAAAGACTGCTCGTTGACACACCAATGACCTGAATAGGCCAGAAGAAGTCAGTCATCCAGAAGCAAGCCCAAAGGGTAGGGTGTGAAACTGATACACCACCGATGGATGAACTGAAGATATGGATGAGACCTTGTTGAGACTGGAATATGCAGGTATGCATTGGTGATGTCCATCTTGGTCATCCATAAACTTGGAATGGTGAAATCGGGAAGGTGAACAAAGCGATTGAGGCAGGACAAATCGATGACAGGCCTCCAATCCCCAGTTTTCTTTGGAACAACAAATATTTGGGAGTAAAAAACCCCGGTGAGTGATGGGGAACAGGTTCGATAGCCTGTTGAGTGAGGAGGTTCTGAACTGCCTGACAGATGCTGACAAACAATGGTATCCTGAAGTAGAGGGAAGGAAACGAGTATAGGAGACAAGGAAGGTGTGGCAAGAAATGGGATCTCGAATTCTTCCAAAAAACTTGAAGAACCCCAAACATCACTGATGGTGCCATTGATGGAGAAAGGTCACAAATCGAGCTCCCACTGGACCAGGTCCCACCGGGTTGTAACCGGTACTGTCGGCAACGTAACAAGAGTCCTTGAGGTAAACAACGAGCTGTGATATTTCGAGAAGGGGGGACAGGTAAGGGTTGGGAAGTGGAAGGATAAGAAACCATAATGGGTGCCACACTTGGCTCCAACTGAGACATACGGGCTACCAGATGGGAAAGGGTATACTGTTGTTGGACTGATGTCACCCGAGATCATATCAAAGATGAAACACCATAAAAACAGGGCCATATGTAAATCTCAGAGATAAGGTGTAGATAAACAGGCCCTCAATAAGTCAGCATCTTGGCCCAGAAGGTCCCAACAACAGAGCTGAAGATGACAAATGAGCCAATGTGCAGGTAAGGAGGGAGAGGATTTCCCCAGAAAACCCCTCACAATTTCTGTGAAGAGCCTCATATAGGAGATGAATAGTGGATAGATACTGCAAAAGAGTCGTGACAGTAAGACATAGGCAGGAAAATTGGGCAAGGGTTAAACTAATAGGAGATTTGGGGCCCTCCCCCCAAATGGATAAAACAGAACCCAAGAGTTGCTGGTCAAGATAAGGACAGTCTGCACGATGATAAGTGAGAGAAGACTGATCCGAAGCCCATGGGATATTAGGCACGCTAATGTTATCGTTTAACTGGGAGGCAAATTGTTCAGCATGGATCCGAATGTCAGGGGAAAGGAGAAAAACCAAATAGGGTTGGGAAGAATGTTCATGCAGTAAGGAAGGAAATAGGTCATAAGAAGTAGGGAAGAGGGATAAAATATCACATACCTGAGAGATAAAGTCTGAAAAAAATGTGGAAGGCTGAAGCAAATCCTCAGGAAATGTATGGAAGGCATGGCAAATTCAGGAGTTGGAAACAGGCGATAGAAGTCCTTGTAAGCTTGAACACGTTCAGGAGGAAGTTGGGCAATGTGAGGAGATCACTGCGAATAAAAATTAATAAATCTCCCATTGGGTCACTCACACCTGAGGCCTGAGATAAAGTACCTGTCAAAATTGAGATACCCGAAGTGGTGACACTGACTTTGGAATCCATGTTTTTTTCAAGAGTCTACAAATAGGTGAATGTATAAAAAAAGGCGACTATAATGAGTTAACTTAAGGTAATTCGAAAGAAAACTGGGTAGTTTATAAAGTATAACCACTTTGAGAAGAAACTGTATCTCAAACTGTTGGAATCAAGTAAAAAAAAAAGAAACATGTCCTAACAGAATGAGAAGTGATAGTTCGGTAGAGGTGCATACAGGGAGTCACATGCATCATGTGAGTATACTATGCTCCTATTGGTGAAGAGGTCACGCAAGATGGTTTACATGAGACACACGTTGGAATCACTTGATTCCAATAGGGGGAGTGGAAGGCTTGTGTTCACTTATAGAGGGCAGCAATGAATGAGAATAGCTAATCTTGTGAGAAGAGGGAAGTGCAGTATCGGAAATTTCTCTTGTGGTATTCACATCAACAAGCTTAGCAAAATTTTTATAAGCTCTTATCACATAGTTAGAAAGCTAGATGAATTTTAATAGTTATAGAACATTCTTTGCTTTGTGCATGGTATTATTCTGTGTTCTTAAATGTATTATTTAATTAAAGAAAAATTTTGTGTACTAGTACCATTATTATAAATATGTATGATACCCACAACCCATTATTAGAATGTTTATGAAAGGTGGACATTTGTTTCTTCAGGAGCAAACTGGGAATGACTGTAAAGCAAAGTGTGAAATAAAGTGAAGTTTAAGTGATGTTATGCAGGCCACCATGGAAATCTGGAAGTGTTTTGAGTATATTTCAATGCGTTAAGTGTTTCTCATTTCCAGTTCAATACTACCAAAAACAAGAATGTTAGGTGTAAAGAAGTTAGAGATGTATTGTTTTAAAAAAGATAAATGGTCAAGAAAAACTACACTGAGTATTGACAAACTGAAATAGAAGTGACATATGAAGATTGATTAAAAAAAAAGAATGTCAAATATATATAATTTAAAAATAACATTGAAATTATCATAAATAAATAATAAGTATTAAAAAGATAAGGGGTGAAAATTAAGAATTAACACTACATGGACAAAACCAAATTTATTTTTTTTACAGACAATAAACTAATGACTGGAAATCACTGATTCTGAGATCTAGATTTATTCCACAAGGTTGAACAGTATTTAAAGTTGTAATTCAATAGGCTTCTCTTATCTCCCTATCAGCTTTAGTTTTGAAATGGGTTTCAATACCAATAAGAGTTACACCAGTAATAGAATGACCAGGTTTATGAAGAGTGGGGTCCATTTTAGTGCTATTAGAAGATTTATGATTGTTGAAATGCTCTCTAAGAGTCGTTTGGGTCTTCCCTACAAACAGGTGATTGCATTTTTTACACTGTATGAGGTAAATGGTATTTTTTGTTGTACAGGTATTTTCTTTAGAAATTTTAGTTTTTATGGTCATATTTGTCAGAAAAAGAGTCACTGTTTTTTATAAACTTGCAGGTTAGACAACAAGCTTTATTACAACCATATGACAACCATTCTTTGAGGGGTATAATTCACTTTGCATCAACAAGGATATCTTTAAGGCTTCTGCTCTTTCAAAAGGAAACAATGGGAACTTCAAGAAATATTAGTCCAAGGTGATCCTTTAGCTGTACTAGATAAAAATGTTTTTTCAAATGCAGGAAATGTTTCTATGTTTAAAATGATAGGTAATAACAAGAGGAATTATATTTGAAACCTTGCTATTAAAGGAATTCAAAGTCAAACTAGTGTGTTTCGACTACCAGGATTCTCTCCTCCCATTGATGGGTTGCCACACAAGGCAAACATGTGGATCTTACAAAAGGTGCACTACATAGATAGAATCTTCCCTCACCATGTACAGAAATCCACATCTACCTGAGACAGAAGACAAAATTTTTGATGGTGACCAACAGTATAAACTGACATCATGCTCAACAATCAGACATTCACCATGAGAAATATCTGAAAACTTTACACCTGAATGAAGCTGAGAGCAATCAACTATCGATTTACACAGAGGCTCAAAATTCACAGGTATAGTAGGAATTATGAAAATCTGGTTGATCAGGATGCTAGTTATCTTACTGTATCTTCAGTTATCTCAATAACCATAATGACTTTTTGTTTGGACTCCAAGAAAAGTTCTTATTGAAATAAATAGTTGGAATGACAATTTCTGCTTACTTCTAAATCTGGGTGATCCTATGCTGCAATGGAACACAGTAATAAAAGACCCATAATTCATAGAACAAGATATTGAAAACTATGAAACCAGCAAAATGTCAAAAAGATGGACATTCAACTACATAACTTGAATTTCACTTTTCACAATTATAGGTATACAGTTGTACAAAGTTTGTTTCCTTACTTCTAAAAAATTTATATTTGTTTAGAAAGCAAATGTCGAAATCATAACTGCACATAATAATTTTTATACGTTGCTTTTTTTTTTTGCCAATAGGACTGGTTCTATAGATTTATTGTATGGTTACTACTATATGAAATAATCAAATTTTATGTGATTAACTCTTGAATGTTATGAAATTGTTTTCCTTTTAGTTTTATATATATTGTTGTCTTAGAAAGTTTGATATATACATATTTTTTAATATTGATGTTAGTGACTACAGTAAGTTTCTGAATTCTTGAAGAAATAAAGTGAACTTTTATTAAAACTAATAAATCTACAATGATATCAACTATGATATTTGTTGTTTATAACAATTCAGTGATATATATGGAAATCACACTTCCTTATAATACTTACATATTTAATAGAGTAACAAAAGTTTTGTTTTCTAAGGTTCTAGTTCAGAACCTGAAACTCTGTTCCCTAAAAGGTGAAATTAGTCCTAGGCGTTTTTTCTAAGGCATGTGTCAGTTATTTGCATCTCATATTTATATTGTATCCAACATGACCATGAGTGTGTACGTTTTTTACAGAGTAGAGATACTTTCTTGTAACTCAACTTGTGACTAGTCTCTTCTAAGACAACTTAGATTAAGAGAGTAATTTTGGCACTTTCTGGAAGTTCCTAGGATGCCACAAAACAAGAAAATCCCAATACATAGAACAAGCTGTTGAAAAAAATTAAAACAAGAAAATGAACCTACATACATTTTGTTATCTCTAAAATGTGTTGTAAGACGTATTTTTATATTCAATAACCACAGTTCTCACATTTCAATAAACAGGTTTTTTTATCCATTTATTTAAATCTGAAAAATTTCTTTAACACTTGCCATTCATCATGGCTTGCTTCTGTCTTCATTAACATATTTATTACTTTCATTAAACCTGTGACAGATCACAGTTTTTTAGTTTTCTTAATATCAGTAACAACAGTTTACATTAAGTTATGTAAAATTTTTATTTACACAAGTTTTATTCAGTTATGCACAAGACTACTAAAACTGTTTTACAAACATTCTCAACAGTGTATAGACACTGTCAAAAACATGCATGAAAGATCCTGTGAGTAAGTTGTTTAGTAGAAGAATGATAATTTTATTAATGGTTATTGTTTTTTTATCATTATCTGTGTGAATATAAAGTTTTAGATTTCATAGGCTTTTGAAACATATTTTTTGGTTTTGCTTTCTTAGATAGAAGTCTTGGACCACCACAAAACTTTTTGTAATACAACATTTTTATACAAGCTTTTACAATATCTAAGAAAAACTTGCAGGCCAAAAATATGAAATATTTCATATTTACTTTCAGAATTTATTTTTTAAATAATATTTTGACAAGTAAAGTAGTTGAGAAGAAATGCAACAAAATTGGCATGAGATGTTCACTTCTGGCAAAAAGCACCAAAATTTCCCTCACATTTTGGCCCTTACTGCATCAAAATAGCATTAAAAATTCAAATTCACAGTTTATTATTATCTAAGTTTTAATTTCTTCATTTCAAAAGGAAATATTTAAATAATTTATTAATCTTGACTTCAGTGTCTCACGCGATGCATCTCCTTTCTGATTCTCTTAGTTTTCAATATTCCAATCAGAAATTTAAACTACAGATTTGACAGGTCAGAATACAAAATTTAAGCTTCCCTCCTTTTCAAATTAATGTGGAATAAATAAATCTATACATCTACCTCTGAGACTCTTCAAAGATTATCATATCTTTGAACAAATTTATCTATAAAATGTGTCCTTCTTTAATAGACATGTTTACAACTAAAAGAAAGAGAACTTTTGTCCTCTACAAGAACCTGTTGAGGATTATTTCTTTTTGGTGCAAATTTGTAGATAGACTGCCTAATATTTTTTGTATGTGATCATTACTGATGAACTCTGAGTGACTAGTGGACTTTAACCTGTTTGTTGCTTTGTTATAATACCTGTTAAATTATAGTAGTTAAAAACATTATATATTTTGTTTGTGATGGTATTTTTTGTTCTAAATTGCATATTTGAAATACAAAATATTTTGAACCACCAACATCACTACAAAAAAGTAGGTCAACAGTGCTTTGTCCATTGACAGCAAAAAGCCCAAGTCCAAATGGGTAAGCACTAAGTTTCTTTTTTTTTAGTATATTTTTATTTATTGTTATAAAAGTAATTAGAATATAAAAATTACAAACTTATTAGGTTTCATAAGAAAGCTTAAATAAAAAAAAATTAAATAAAATTTCTCATGATAGTCAAAATTGTAGCACTGTATGTGCATGAAGTGTATTTGTAATTCATTCCTGTTGTACATGTAATTTGATTGTACACACAAAGCTGCCCAGCTGTGATAAATGGTTTTTGGCAAACTCTGAAATGGTGTAAATGCTACTGTACAGCAATAAAATCAAATGAATCTAGATTTTAAAAATCTAATAGTTTTGTTTGGCTGTTACATTATGTATTCATTCTGGAAAGAAAAAAATGGTAATTTAGACTTATTTCATATTTTTCAACTTTTTAATGATGCTTTGGCTACAGTTAGTATTAGGGTAGAGAAAATATGATAAAATATAAAGTTTTACAGAAAAAAATACTTTTGATATTTATTTCAAGGTTCTATAGGCTATGCCAATGAAATATGAAAATTTTAAGATGAAAGTTATTTATTCTTAACATGAAACTTACCTCAAACTCAGACTAATCAGTTGTACTGACTCAGTAAATTTACAGACAAATCTTTTGTAAAAAAGTTGTTACTAAAAATTCTCGTTTTTTGTGCACAACATACTTGCAAAGTTTACAAAATCTTACCATATGTTATTGAAGATAAGTGGGTAGGTGCAAAGCATCAATGCTGCTTACATAGGGTTAATAAATAGAATAACAGTAGTTTTATATTACACCTTGGAATAAACTCATGCAAAAGCCATTTAAGTAGAAAGGTTTGGCACATCTTTATAATAACTGAATGAACATTCAAGGCTTTTCCATTAAAACTAAGTAAATCATATGGTGTTTTATTTATACCAGCAAATTTTATAAGCTGCATTTTTAGAAATTATTGTAAATGCAGGATACTAAATTACATTTTTATTGACATCCAAAACAAGTTAACCAAATATTAAAACTGGTGAGGTATGCAAGTAAATTGTGTTACCTAGCTCCCTTAGTTAATATATAGGGTTATTATAAAGCAAGTTTTGCAGTTCAGCACATCATATCTTACAAATGGTGTGATATAGGAAAGTGAAATTGCACAGGGGTGTTAAGGATATCAAGTGGATCCACATACCACAGTTGTCAAGTGCTGCCACCACAAACATTATAATGTTCTAATGTCTGATCAATCCTAGAAACAGTTCAAAATGTGCTCCTACAGCATCCATAATGCAATGCAGTCCTTGTGTTGATGGTTCTTCAAACTAATATGGTCCAATAACAAAGTCAGCTGTGAAATCACACTAGACTGTTACCTTAGCATCATGTAAGTGTGTGTGTGGAAAATGTTACTTAGTTTCTAATCAGATAATGCAGTTGCGCATGTTGACACTTCCAGTAAGGGTGAAGCAAAATCAACACATCACATTAAATCCATCTCTTTCAGTACTTAACCATAATGCAGCTTATCAAGAAACATCCAAAGAGTTGACTGAAGAGCTTTACAAACAGTTAAAAGTGACAGATCCAGACACCTGGAGATATAATGTGCACTGCCAAACCCATATGTATTTGTGCTGGCTTGTTCTGCTACAGTATGGCTGACTTTTGACAGCTGCCTTATCATTTCATCTTTTGGTGTAATAACTTTTCACTACAACCCTACAAAGGGTTCAGTGAGCTTCACTGTGATTGGCAAGTCCATTTATACCCATGGAAAACATGTGAAAGAAACCACAGTGACACCTCTGGTGGCAATATGTGACAACTGTGGAACTTGTAATTATATAATTCCCTTAACAGCTTAACATAACAGAGAGCTCTTCAGTGAATGTGCCACAATAAACACTTTGGTTATGCTTTTGTGTGAGTAAAGATTGAATCACTGTGCTTAGCTTATATCCAATCTCTTTCAAACTCAGTTGAAATCCAAAGATTTCTGATTTTGTTTTTAAAACATTTTCTATTGAAACATCCTATTATATTCTGCGGCTCCTACCCACTTACTTGAAGGTAAATCAGTGAAATTGGGAATACCACACTAGTACATTCTAAAACACTGGATGAAGAATTTGATAAACTTCATTCTTTACATATGCACGACACCGCCCTTTATCATAGGTAGTAAATCAAGAGACAGCACTGTAAAACAGCCAGTTACTTTTTCTCCATTCAGAGAAAAAATGCTTTATACATTGAGAAATAGTGTGACTGATGGCACTGTTCATTTGCCATTTCAAAACAGCTTTTAATAGGGCAAGTAGAGGCAAAGCAACATCAGTCCACAAAACTAGTAGGATATAATCCCTTACTACTAGACTGATTACTTACTGGTTATTGGTTAGTTGAAAGAAAACTAGGTACTGATGATAAATTAACAAATGTAGATGGAAGACAGTGTTTTTGATTTAAAAGTAGCTTCTGAAACTGAAAAAACACAAACAAGTTAGTATAGACAGAATCATGCAGGGAACATTATTAATTCTTAGTAAAAGTTCTAGAAAATAAGTTTTTTTTTGTAAGAAAACAAGTTGAGTAAGTTTACATCTTACTCAGTAATGACCAACATACAAGACTTATCTTTTCCTTGATTCTTGAAATGGGTCAGTCAGGAACTACTTAAATTTTTATTTAATGAAAACCTAATCTACTTTGTGGTCTTTACAAACTGGTGAGATACCAAATAAATGTAGCACTAAAACTGATACAAGCTCAAACTGAAAATAGTGTTGCATAAATTTTATCCTTAAGATTTTAGTTTCTTTGAATATAAAAAAAAAAGCTTTTATATATATATATATATATATATAATTTTTCTCTCTTGAAAATATTAGAGAAACCTTACTATTCTCTCCAGATTTCAATGTGACATAAATTTTTCTTGTGACTTGATCACCATCCATGAAAAGTTGGTGAGCTGATGACTGAAAAGCAATATTCACCTCTACAAGTAAAAAAATACAAAAAGTAAAAGTACAAACAGTAATGAAAAAATGTGGAAATAAATGCTTTTTTATAAAGTAAGGAAGAATTAATATATTAATACCAAAGATATTCCTAGCTTCTTGAGTTCAAAATGTTTACAATAGATAAGTTGAGAAAATAGTACCTTATCTTAAAATGAAGGTAATTCATTTACCGTCAAATTTCAAATATTACATCCATGCTCATACCCTTACAATAATCTTTACAACAGTAGAACATCTGCCCATTTCCTTCAAGTTATTTTCATACCAAGAATACTAACTTGAAACTAAAGTAGCTTAAGACATCTTTTGACAGTTTTACACAGTGCTTCATAAAAATATATTTTAAAACATTAAAGATAGAGGTTGATTACCATTCTTAAATTAAATTTAAGAATTTTAATGTTAAAAGCATTCTGTCTGCAGTTTCCTATTATATATATAAATGAAAATATTGTGTGTTAGAGAGATTTTATTACAAACTTAACAATCCAATAAAGCTTATAATCAAGAACTGATTATCATTCAGCTCTCTACTTCCTTTTCACAAGAAAGCCTGTAATACTGTCATCTACAAAAGTTTTCTCATGTAAAGATACCTATAACCTGATCAAAATAATTTATACTAATTTCCGCATACCTAACAATCAAATGAAAAATTCTGTTGCTTTTTTACACACAATGAAATTAAACTCTCAATTTTTTTCTGATCAATGTCACTTGGTTTAACTGCTCAACTTTTGGTATATCTTGTCATACAGGTTTTAATATTATGTTGACTATTCTAGTTTAAATAACATAGTTCAACTTTTTCATAATTAATACTAATGACAATAATAACCATCTTTTGTTAATGTTAACATTAAAATACCTATCTTTCATAACTAAGAATATGCAAAATCAATTCTTTTTAAGAAAAGTATTCTTAAATGTAACATAAAATAGAAAATTTCATATACTGATGTTCTGTAGTTTAGAATTATAATTTAGTTTTTTTACTATATTTAAAAATTAACTGAACTGAAAACTGAACAACTGAAAACACAAATACATCAATTGTAAAATCTCATGTTCCAGTAAACAGATGTACATTTGAGAAACTGGAATACATTTTGGAGCAAGAATAAAAGAGTATAAAGACTGCACAAAACTAAATGAAAACATAGAATTCCACCATACCAAAATATGCCATATTGACAGGACATCAAATAAGACTGGGACAATTACAGACACATTGATTCAAATGAATTTTGTAAAATTAGAAAAATCTAAGAATCTTTCTACATAAAAATGATGGAACCATTGCTAAATAGACTCAGGCCTGAAAAAAATCAGCATTTTGTGGGTACCATTGGTAAAATCATTGCCTGTTTCACTACCCACATTACAAGAACCACCAATCAATCATGTCCCATCCACATCAATCCTCCCAGACACCATATAAAAGTCTGCAAAACCAGTGTAAGCTGACCTGATGGCTTTTGAAACATTCTTTCTACCCAAGATACTTTCATAGATTAGTCCCCCAAGATTTGCTTAACAAGCATCACTCTGAGCTAGGCAATTGCTGTTTATTTCATCTTCATTTGGAGTTTTTTGGGACAAAGCAACAAGGCTATCTGTGCCAAACAACTGGTAAAAAAACAAAAAGTAAAACTCTATAAAAAGGTAAAAGAAACAAGCTAAAAGCTAAACAATGTACAAAAATCTGATAAAAAATCAAATAGAATAAAAAAGGCCAATGGCCTATAAAAAGTTAAAAACACAATCAAATTGGACAGTGTCACCATCACCAATGACACCGTCCAAGTCAAGGGTAAACCCACAGAAAATACATGTCTAAAATAGTGCTGCTACTTCCAGTCGTAACAATGGCATGACAGTAAAACGTGGGCTATTGTGACTTGAATAAAAAACTGTGACCAATGCATAGCCTACCCAAGACAAGTTCCTCCCGTCGATCCTTATGGAAACTAGATGGCCAAACAACAACAGTAGGTTTGATCTAGAAAAGCTTATTATGAAGTTGCTCACCCCAAATCGACTGCCAACTGGTGCAAAGCTGAGTGTTGAACACAGGACCATAGTCCATATATGGAACAGGCATGGCTGTGATAGCACCAGAACAGACAGACTTGGCTGCAGTGTCAGTAAACTCATTCCCATGAATACCAAAGTGGCCAGGTATCCAGAAAAACTGGATAGAAATGTAAGATAAAGAAAAATGACGCAAGTCGTTTTCAAGTACAGATGAGAACTAGAATTAAGCGATTCCAGGGCCAGTAGACAGCTAAGAGAGTCAGTGTAAATAGTACTGTCAATGAACTGCTTAGCTACAAGAGAAATGGCATATAACACAACTGTAAAGGGGATCCTGCGAGTAACCACCGAGCCACAACAAACCACAGCAGAGCCCACAGAGTCACCTGATTTGAACCATCTGTAAAAACGGGAACAGAAGAATGGTTCAAAAGATGTTTGGGAGTACCCGCCTTCCTTAGATGACTCAAAGAAAAATCACAGGTGGGGATGGTAATGAGCCATGGTGGGATGGCTAGTCACTGGACTCAGCAATATCATCCAAAGACAGATCCAATTCAGCCAGCTGTGCCTGGATATGAAGACCAAAAGGATGAATGGCAGACCATTTATTCCAAAAGAGCACAGCCCAGTAAGTAAGGAAAACACAACCCCAAGTGGGATGCTGTGAAAAGGATCAAAGCTTGGTAGCATATTGCAAAGAAAGTTGCAAACGGCATAGGTGAAGAGGAGGTTCATGGGACTCAGTGTACAGACTCTGGACTGGCAAAAATGAGAATGCCCACATTCAGAGCTGAAGCTCAAGATGGTGAACGAGTCCAACATTTTCAAGGCAGAGGCCCCTGCAGAACCATAGACCCATAGTCCAGTTTATATTGAATGAGGTCACGATAGATCTTCAGCAGAGAACATCGATATGCTCTGCTAGAGATGGAAGAGAAGACACATAGGATGTTCAGTGCCCATGTACAATTGACACGAAGCCTTAATGTTATCACAATTAGAACAAAAACTTCAATAGTTCCACTGTATCAAAGTGGCCATTTTTAATTAAGTGGAGGAGAACTGGTCAGAGAACCCTTTTACTTGCAACAACAACTTTTTTCTTTAGTAGAAAGAGGTCTGTTGAGCACTATGGAATCTGCCCTGCATTGATTTAGCAGATCTCTGTTGGAAGAAGGAGTCTCCAGTGACTCAATAATAGTCCTACACCTCGGGGCTGAAGGAGATGGACCCGAACAGATACTGGAAGCAATGGTGGGGACAGAGACAGGAGCAGATGTTGACCTCTCAATTCATGCAACTATGGAGGGCAAAAACTCTTCACATGGTGTGAGAAAGACTCTGATGCAGGCACAGCAAGATCTGCCTGCACTCCCACTGTAACAATGAAACAGAAAGCAGTAGAATATGTCCGAGATGGAGCCTCTGGGGTAAGAAATGTTGATAACAGTTCCTAAACACTGTACCTCCTTTTCCTCCACCCACTTGGGGCAAGATCAAAAGTAAGAGGGGTGGGAACCACCACAACTGACACAGCGAGGGTCCAGTTGACACTCATGGTATCATGGTATTTGCCTCCACAACGAGCACACGTTAAAGAACCACAACAAGATGCCTTAGAATGTCCAAATTGCTGACACTGGAAATACCTGAGAGGGTTAAGAATATAAGGCCATACCTTGCAGTTCAAATAACCTGCCTTAACAGTAGCAGGCAGACATGGCATGCAAACGTCAATATAAGAACACTGGTAGGCACCATAATTCCTTCTTTATGAGTGGAGATACATCACATAGCAGAAACTCCTTGACTGGAGAAACCAGTATCTCTGACTCGAGGATGCTTCTCAAATCCCTCTCAGTGATAACTCTTTGGGAGGAATTCAAAGTAGCATGGGAAGTAACCTCAATGGGTATATCCCCCATGGCCATTGAGACCTTAGGATGAGTTCACTGTGTTTTGATGAGGATGTTTCCACCAAGATGTGACCAGCGTGTAGCTTCTTAACTGACTTTGGAGAGTCAGCAAATCCCTCTAATCCCTTTTGAACAAAAAAAGAGAGACATTTGCCCCTAAAGATATGTCTGATAAAGAATGTATGATGAAAAAACCAGGTATGGGTACAGATGGAATGGAGACTGGTGTTCAGTCTTCCAAACATGGTCACTTTCCAATCAACATTTTTGTTTTTTTTGTTTTGGGTTACTGGATGTAGGATCCATGAAAAAGGAAAGACTTCAGTGCTCACTGACCCCACCCACTATGAAGTCCAACAAGGAGACTCACTACAATGCAAAACCTGAGCATTGTAGAGATGCCAGGGTTTCCGGGGAACTATACCCAAACACCAGTATCAGAAACAATGTCCACAACACCCATTAAGAAGAATGTTCCCTTGAATTTTTCAATCCACGTGCAGGATATTTTCATGTGCACTAGTATCTAGGCAATGTATCTAGGGGGGGGGGGTATTTTTAGACCATCAACCCTATTTGCAATGCTACCAGTAGATTATTTGTGATTTAGGCCTATTAACTGCCAGGGTCATTGATGCCGTCAAAGTTTTGAGACTCCTCATCATTACTTAGTACGTGCACGGCTGGAATAATGAAGTGTGTGGCACTTGATTGGTTGTTGTGCAGCCATGCAGCCACACAGCTTAGAGGGAACACTGGTTGAGAATGTCCAACACTGGTACTTGGTTGACCCTAGCCTCACTTGACCAGCCAAATGACCCTGGTTGAGCTACCCCAAGGCCGCCTGTCTACAGAAATTTAAGGCCAAAGTGGTGTGTTAAAGTGCCACTAACATACACTGACCCATCAATGACACCCCTAAGCCACCAGGATCCTCTCCTCCCTTTCATGAGTTGCCATGCATGGCAAACAAGAGTGTAGATGTTTAGATCCAAGAGGAGTTAAATTGAAAATATAAA